GAAGAACAAGAAACCGGGCGACTGGGGCCTACTCGTCTCCCAGACCCCACCTTCGAGAGCCTACCGTTTCGTCACCCGCCCAGACTGGTCAAGCTTCCAATCTAAATTCAGTTCCTACCCCATCTCGAATTTCAGTCTGCAGGAACTGGAAATCCAGAATAAAGACCCCCAGTCCAAGCTCCTGGAGACCTTCCTGCTCAGGAAGGTGAGGGTATCACAAATTGAACCTTGGATAATCTTCCAGCGAGAACTTAGTATAGAAGACCTGGAATTCGACCCTAAGGAATGGATATGGAAGCAGGGGAGAACAAGGAATTAATCTGAATACAACGTAAAATTTGGCTACAACCTCGGTCTGCAGACGTGAGATCCAAAAAAACCTGGGCTAATAGAGAAGTGGAGAAATATCTTGGGTCTAGACCCAGCAGCCTCCTTCACGATCCCATGGGCTACATACCTCCTTATCAGACCCATAAAAATCCGCAGCATGCGATGGGTCCTAGCCCACACAGCTCTCCCCGTCAATCAGTGGCTCCACAAGAGGAGGAAACACTCAGACCCTAATAGCTCGGAACTGTGTCTTCTGTATAACAACAGCACACCGGAAGATATCCCACACTGCCTTGTCTACTGCCCTGAAGTGGCCTGGATCTGGAACAAGGTCCGGGACCTATGGTCTATCCTCTTCTCCTCACCACCCCGCAAAACTACCCCTCTGACTATCCTACGCCACTGCAACACCCCACGGAGTCTCAAAGGCAGCAAGAGGGTCTGGTTCAGTCTACTCAGGAAGCTGGCACTCTGGGTCATATGGAAACGCAGATGCACACAGACAAATCGAGGGAACAGAGGTGGCAAGAGAGGAAATGTGGACCATACTGCTAATCCGATGCATCATCAATAAAGTACAGGGCAGAGAAGCACACAATCAAAATACGGGCATTCCCGGGAGACTGGTTATTAGGGGGCAAGATTGCTAGTATAACAGACAACATGCTGAGGTGGAAGAAATGGCACCAGACAGAACCGCAAGGCAGCGAGCCACCAAGAAGGTCATGAACGGGTATGCTCGGAGTGCAGAATTGAACAAGTTCAGAGAGGAAGCTGAGCTTCCCACATTTTCTTGTTACGTCAAGCTCTATCTGGCTATTTGGGAAGGGCTAGCTGACAGTCAATCCTCCTAATTGGGAGCAATCAATGCTGGTCAGGGATCCTTCGGCCATACGGAAGGAGGTGTGAGTGTGAACACTATGTATTGAATTCTTGAGTTGCCGGGGGAATAGGAACCGGACTGACGCTCCCCAGAATGGACAAGGAGCCAGGACCATAAGGACCTGTTTTTTCTTTATTTAAACCACTAGTACCTCCGAGCCTGTTTTTGCCGACCCTGAATTTCACTGCGCTCCGAGTTTGCCGAGCCTGGGTACCACTCCGTTTTCTTTCTGGTACTCTCACGGAAAGAACAACAACAAAAAAAAAAGAAGAAGAAAAGTTGCGGCCGTGAACTCAGAAAAAAAGAAAAAAACAAAACAAAACAAAGCTTTGGCCGTGATTGCAGTTGTATACATTCTTGGAAATGGTAGTGTGAGTGTGCCCTCAGTGAGGGCATCTCTGCCCCGTGGCCAGGTTGTCAGATTCGAAAAAGAGAATAGAAGGGGAAAAAAACGGGCACATGGATCCGACCGTGAAAATGGCTGGATACATTCCCCTTAGTACCAGTGTGATGAGTGTTATAATCCTCAGACAAAACACAGCTTGAGCAGATCACGGATGGCTTGAGGAATTCACGGATTCCCCCCTGCCTCATTGGCAGGGGACTTATAAGAAACACACGAGCAAGAAAAAAAAGAAAACAGTAACATCCAGAATGTGACCACCTTACCGGTGAGGTGCATTCTGTGGAGGAAGACTCTGAGCACGGCCTCCAAGACTACCCTGCCCGACATCATTGCAGTAGAGATAGTATTTCCTTTTTTTCCTTGTTCTTTCACTCGCGGGCAATATAAAAATCTGACTTATGGAACAGTGCCGACCCTGTGTCCCGCCCCCGATAACTTCGGGAACTGGCAAAACATCGTAATTTCCCAACACTGGCGGAGGTACTAAAAAAAAACAGAATGGAAGAAGAAGAAGAAGAAGATGAACACAAGCAAGAATCAATGTCACTCCTCCCTCATCTCGGCACCAACTCCCTCTTTCAGCATCTTCCCCCAACATCTTACTACTAATAATAATTAACAACAACAATGAATGATGAACCAGAATCGATGTCCAGATCCTTCCCTTACTGCCAGCCACTCAAGAAGTCCACCATAGCCATACTGCACCTTCTCCCAGTACTTGGCTAAGCCGGTGGCTCTGGTGGACCTTCGGAGCTCAGCTCCGATGTTCAAAGGACAATGCAAGGCTGCTATGTCTCTCCCACTATCGCCGCCATGCCACTTTCCACCCCCTGGAGTCGTCTTTCCAAATATCACCCCACTTGGGGCCTTTCTGGTGTAGCGCAAACCGAAGATAAAGATGCAGACCACCATAGGCAAGGTCCCTTCTTCACTCTCCTTGTTCCTCCTCCTCCTTCTTCCTTCGTCCTCCTTCTTCCTTCTTCTTCTTCTTCCTTCTTCTTCTTCCTTCCTTCCTTCTTCTTCCTTCTTCTTCTTCCTTCCTTCTTCTTCCTTCTTCCTTCTTCCTCCTCCCTAGGCCTCCGCCATATCTAGGCCTTCTCCCGCCTCTGAGTTGGTCACCTCCACCATAACCGAGGTGGGAGCCAAGCTCCACCCAGTGCTGCTTCAGCCGGGTGGTTGCTTCAGCAGTGTGCCTCCAAGCTCCACGCCAACAAATGAGGCTGAGGCCTTCGCCTCCTCTCTTGATATTCCAGACTACTGCCTCTTCGTGCGATACTACCGGTTGCCTTTGCTTTTGGCGGGAACATCATTGCAGTCTGATATCCCCCTTTCTGCAGGCTCTAGACTCGGAATTACTGTGCATGGGTCCTGGGGACCCTTTCACGCAAGTGTGTACATGTCATGCATCATCCTCACACACCACGATCAATAGTCTCAAGTCATAGACAAAGGTAGATGAGAAGAGGACCGAGTTTCACAGCTTATATTATCAGAAATATGAATACAAAGTGTTTCAAAGTTCCCCTGAGTCCAGCGCTCATCAGCGCAACACCAATCTCTTGTCAACTCATCAATATGACTTCCACTGAATCAGCGCTACTCCTGCAGATAGTCTCCAAGTCATCAATGTGGACACTACTCATCAGCGCCACCTTTGCAGGTCACATCCAACTCAATTAAGTATCTTCCATAGCCGAACCTTGAATGAACACTCCCCGCCTCAGTCCCTTCCTCCTACGATGCATACACACTCTTCACTCATGAGGATCTACTCTGAATACTACTCATAGCTACATGCTAACCCACTACTACTAATACTAACTCGCTGGGCAGCTATGGCTGCATCACTTCCAGCGTACAGGCTTCTTCCTCCCTCCTTCAGCGCATCTTCTACCTCCAGCGCTGCTCCTCCTGACTCAGCGCACAAGTGCACCAGCACTTCCACGCATTGCAGCCAGTGGAGATCTGGCGAGGAATGAGGCAGGCAGCTTCCTTTATAGTGCTGGCCACTCCTCGCTGGGTCTGCATTGGCTCAATTCGGCCTGTCCTTTGTCCCAGACCCTGCATTGCATGTGTCCCAGTATAGTCCCAATGAAGTTCAACTGCTGCTGAGGCCTCTTGGCCAGGATTTGGACTTGAAAGTCTGGATCTGGACTGACCCCTTGACTTAGACCAAAACTGGGACTGTGCCTATTGACTTTACTTTCGGACAGGCACAACTCTAACGAACAGACACATTCACTGCTTGAACAGACACTTTCCTTTGCACGAACAGGTACACTGCCTGCACGTACAGACACATTCTTACCCGAACAGACATGACATACACAACTCCTGGTGAACAGGTAAGTCTTTTGACAATGCCCTTTGCCTTAGATTTAGATGTGCCTGTTGAGAACTTGACTTTTGACCTGCTTTCAAGTTTCTGAGCCCTGGCGAGATACCTTTTCACAATGCTTTACTTTTACAAGGTCTGTGCTGCGTTACTTTTACAAGGCCTGAGGCCTATTTCGGGTAAAGGCCCTTTTAACTGGACTGCTACCTACCGCTAAGCATACCGGACTCTTAAATACTTGCACGCCTACTCAAATATACTACCTCTTTGTCTTTTTGTACTACCCTACTTGCCACTTTCTGATTGTGGCTCCGTGTCCTCTTCTAGCCCAGTCTACCCGCTGCAAACCAACCACACATGGCGACAGGTTAGTACCTGTGGGCCATTTCAGCACACAGACTGTCCCCGGTGGGTTACACACACACGAACACCAGCACTCAGACAAGCTGCAAGCACATGGGATATCAGCAAGCCCTCAGCAGAACATGGATATCTCAGCAAATCAGTCCAGCACGCAGCAATAGTCAGAAAACTGCAGATTTCTCTGTCTGCAGACTCTGCAGGTCATTACACCCCTCTTTCTTGGAGAGTGGGGAGGGGATGACTTCATTTTCAGAGGTGGCACGATTTGCTTTGAGTTTCTGCTGCAAGCACTGGAATTCAATGGAAAGGAAAGCATCAGATCATACTGAAGTCAGTTGGATCTGGACTAGGTAGATATAGATCATACAAGGAATGATTTCCAATGGGGTGGTTTAGTGTTCGATGATCTTCGATCCAGAAAATTTCCTGTCAATTCTCTACTCAGTAGTCAAACATGCTCTGTGACTTGGAAACAGGGTGGCCTGAAGACTCCCAGGGCGTCGAAGATGGCGCTGAGGAAGGTGAATTGGAAAGACGGATGCGGCTGGAAAAAGAGTTGGAGCACAAACACAGGAGAGAGTGCCTGGAAGCAGCCCAGTCAGCAGTGGCTCTTTTCGGTGAAGACAATTCTCTCCTGTTCGTTATCAACATGTTTGCGCTGGTAGGTAGTATGTGTGAAATTGTGAATCCACTATGCCATTCTTAGCTTTGGGTTGATCTTTTCTTGTTTGTTTGTTTGTTTGTTTGTTTTTTGAAGGGGCATAACCCCTAAAATTATTGTATTCGTCCAGGTTTGAACTGATGACCTGTTTCTTAAAACTCACATGTGAGTACCATTCAGCCATAAGGCATCTGGCAGCTCCTGACTTGGTTTAAGTCTCTAAGCGTCTTTCACAATAGTTTCCCTCCTTCCTGCCCCTGCTCCCAGTCCCCTCTTCGGCTTTTCACAAGTAGTTTTTCTTCTTCCTGCTCTTGTCATTGTTCATTTGACTCCAAACGCTCTGTGAGATTTTGGCTTTCTATGGTTTCTGCTCGGACTCTACTTGCTTTGTATGGTTTCTTCTCGGACTCTATTCACATTCTCTGCGAGTGAAATTTAATTGGTAGAGTTTGGTACGGAATTGATTGAGACGTTTCTGTCACCTGAGACTCCAGTAACTTAGGTGACCATCTAATGGACTCTCGGTGGAACCGACCACATAATGTTTGGTACTCCTTTTTGATCCATCTGAATCAGATGAGATGAACTGCCGCACACCCATGTAACTCTTAGGAAACAGATCATAAGTTTGAATCGTCAGGCAGGATTTGAACCTGATACCTGTCCCAAGTGTAAAGCAAGTGCAAAATTTTCTATTTTGCTGTTTCTCAAGTTGCTGCCAGCCAGATATGTACCTAGAACGTACAAATAGAAATACTATTTGCTGCGCTTAGACACAAGGGACTCTGTACAATGTAAACTTCTGGATTTTCCAGAGCTCGGTAGAATCCTGTAGGCTGAGGCCATTTGATTCAATTGAAGTGGCAACAAGTTAGAAAAATACTAGTCTATTATGAGCTCATCAGGGACAAAGATACAGCCCATTTTGCGTTTTCTGTAGTGCTGGACGCAGCGAGAGAGTGGGGAGATGGTGAAGTGTGGCAGGTTGATGCATTGCATTTTCTGCAATGCTGCAATGCTGCAATGCTGGACAAAACGGTTCACAACGGTTACCCGTTGAAATTGGGCATGGGCCTGATATGCAGAGCTGTCCATACAGACTTACGGTGGCAGTGTGCATGATCTGATCCAGGAATTTGATCGATCTTTGCAGGCACCGGAATTGGAGATCAGGGAAGTCCTTAGTATGTGTGCTTTTATGAGGGTTCTTCCAAAGAAGATTGCGAGCCACCTGAGTTCCCCAAGCAAAGAGCTGAAGACGTATCATAGAGTGACGCGCAGCAGTCTGCTGAAGGGACAACGACAACAAGTAGGCTGATGAGGGAGTGCACTAGAGGAGAACCTAGGGATAGTAGAGCAAGATGTACAGTGCCGTTATTGAAAGACCGACATACTTTAATGACAACCATAGTAGGGGAGTTACAAATGATGAGAGGGAGGAGAATCCTGAGATGGGGAAACAAGTGAGAGAAGTGTATGGTTTGCAGGGAGATCAAAGCGAAATTATCCCTACGGTTCTGCAGAAGTTAAAAAAGTGGTAGCAGGCAAACAGTTGTAGCAGCAGTAAGGGACAATGAGACAGTAAAGCAGGCAAGAACGTGTCCCAACAGGAGGAACGAAACCATGGGTACCTTGTGGGATGGGATTGAAGTGGCAATGGAGAGGATGGAGAATGCTTTGTGTGTGATATGCATCCGTAGGGGAGACTTGGGCCAAAATTGCAAAGCAAGGAGACCGGTGAAAGAGTAGGGCCAGATGCTGCAGTCCCATCTACGGAGGTCAGGGAGAAGGATTCTGCAAATCGCAGGGCTCCTAGTTCACCAACTCCCCAACCTTAGTTGGTCAAGGCTGCAAGTGCCTGCCAAGAGGAGCAGCAAGGAGAGGCAGATTGCACCAACAGTTACAACGAGGAAGAAGAGTAGAGCAGCGGTCTGCATAATGCTTTCGCTTGCACTGTACTAGTGTGTGAGACAGCACAACCCAACGAGGTGGAGACGGTGATGTGTTTGTGTGGTGCATTCAATGTGGTGTAGACAGGGAAACCCATCGAAGACCTCAGTGAGGAAGAGGAGGTGACCCTAATGAACACCGTTATCAATCCCAAAGTGGTAAAGACAATAGCTGACAATGGCTCCTCCCAAACTATATTTCCCAAAAGGCGAGAAAGAGATTTTACATCTGGGAAAGAAGGTGAAGGACCTCACTATGCCTGAGGAGGTCAGAATTGTAGATGGGAATGTGATTCAAGTTAGGTAGTGTGTCAGAGACATTCCTGTCACTTTTGATGTTGATGGGAAGATACGTCATACAATGCTTTTCTTCATCCTGGGAAGTTCACCGTTCCAGATGGTGATGGCCGAGAATAGCGAGAGCAGTGATTACTTGCGCCACATAGATGGTGCAAATAACCATGAGTGGGGGCTTGAGGAAGAGGACAGTAGCGTTAGTCAGGGGAGGACCTACGCTGCTGTTGCGGCTGGAGGGAGGCCGCAAGGAGGAGGTAGGGAGTAAGTGCATGGCGTCACCAGTGCTCCTCAATTATCTGTGTCGGCGCAAGGGACTTTGCAGCAAGAACAACTCTAAGAGATTGCAGCAACTTATACAGGATTGTGCAAAGATCTACAAGAAGAGCCAACAGGCATTATGAAGGGGGAGGTCAAACATTCTATTCAGTTTGTACAAGGTGTTGTACCTCCAAAGGGGTGTGTCTACCAAATGTCACCTGCGGATCTCCAAAGGGTGGATCAGATCCCGTGCTTCGCCAAACAGTGCGCCAGTATTATCGGTGCCAAAGAAGGATGTTGGAGTTGGGATCTGCGTTGACTACTACGCCTTGAATAATACCACCATCAAGAATGTGGAACCGTTGCCACACATCGGTCACATGCTGGACAGAGTGCATGGCTGGAGAGTTTTCTTGTGCCGATCATTAGATCGAGGTGGAACCAGCAGACGAGTTGAAGACAACATTCAAGACCCGATGTGGAAGCTCTGAGTACATTCAAGACCCGATGTGGAAGCTCTGAGTACACCATCATGCCATTCAGACTAATGCACCTCGCCATGTTTCAGTGTTCTACCTTGATGACATCTTTAAGTTTAGTTGCGAGATTGAGGAGTACGTAGAGGTACTGAAGGCAGTGCTTGAGGCGTTGAGAGAGGGGAAGTTCAAGGCCGATGTGAAGAAAGTGAATGTGGGAAGGAAGGCATACCGGACCTTGGGCATGCGATTGATGGGTTTGGAGTTCGACCAGAAGGCAAAGGAGTGGAGGTTGTCACAAAGTGGCCAAGGGCACAAAACGTGAGAGATGTGTGGTCATTCTTGGGCATGGTCAATAAGTTCATTGAATGCCGAGCCACGGTTACCACACCGTTGACCCGAGTGATTGAGAAGGATGCCCCATTCGAGTGCACAGAGGAGTGTGGGAGGTACTTCTGAACTTTCAAGGACCGTCTCACAATATATCCCATCGAGAAGGTTCCAGATCTTGCAGTCCCATTAACATTAACCAGTGATGCAGTGATGCAGTGATGCTAGTCAGTTTGGTATTGGACCGGTGCTGCAGTAGGGCAATGGGCATGGTTTGTGAGTCTTTGTGACCCATGGAGTACTTGTCGAAGAAGATGCCTTCAAAAAGAGTTGCAGGCAGCATCTATGAGAAAAAACTTTATGCTCTGTATTATATCCTGAGGACATGAAGGCATTTATTGGTACGGCGGACCTTCAAAGTTACTCACCAGACTCTTCAATGGCTAAAGGCACAGCCCAAGTTATCAGATAAGCTAGCGAGATGGTGTGCCTTTATTGACATTTTCAGCTTCAAGTTGCAACAGAAGAAGGGGAGTGCTATCACTGTATGATTCTGGTCAGCTCACAATGCAAAACTCAAAGATGAGACAACACCACCGATTGCAATTCAACTAGAAGAAGAATGAGACAAGGGAGGAGGAGCAGGCAGAGGAGGAAGAGGAGGAGGAGGAGGAGGGGGAGGGGGAGGAGAAGAAGAAGAAGAAAAAGAAGAAGAGAAGTTGGAACCAGTGTCGTCCTCCTCCTTTCATCTCCACCATCATCTCTCCCCAAAATCACCTCCAACATCTCAATAATAATAATAATAAAAAAAACAGTGAGTGAATGAGCCAGAATCAATGTTCGATTGCTCCCCCTTACTGTCAGCCTAGGAAAGAGCTCTCCTGTAGCTCCTGTCACCCTCCTTCGACCTTGGTATGGCTACTGGCTATTGTGGAACATCCAAGGTAACCCGGATGTTCAAAGGACAACGCAAATATTCTCATGCCCTTTCGGTCACCTGCCACCAATGAATTCCATGTCCAATCAGCACCCCTTTGAGGACCTACTTGATGCAGTGCCAACCATGAGCATGAAGATGCAAGTCTACCATAGCCGAAGGTGGGTCTTCTTGTCACTTGCCACCTCCCTCCGCCTTCCTCAACCTTTACAGCTCCATAGCACGATTAGAGGTCCTCCATAGCCTAGTAGCTACCTCTACCTCTTCCTAGTGTTCCATAGCCATGGAGGGATTCTCCTTCACCCTTCAGGTCCATCTTCTACCTCCAAGAGCTCCACCAACGTGGCACGGTTCAGCAAAGGAAGTGACAGACTTATCCTGGGGACATTGGAGCTCAGAATTGAAGTTCCTAGCAAATGGTCAGCAACAGGGATTCCTGCTTTACTAGTGAGATGTGGGGCAGCTTGATGGAGTTTGTTGGTACAGAACTCAAGCTGAGTTTTGCTGATCACCCCCGAACAGAGAGGCAAACTGTGCGTAAGAACTGCACCGTTCAGCATGTGCTGCCACCTGAACAGACGCGATCAGATTGATTCAGACCAGAAACTGACTGAGGTGGAGAGTGTCTGCAATGCCACCTGAACAGACGCGATCAGATTGATTCAGACCAGAAACTGACTGAGGTGGAGAGTGTCTGCAACTCCTCAGTACACCCGACCACCTAATTAGTAATTTCACTTCATCTTGGATGGA